GTCTGGCTTCACACATAACGCTAAGCTTTAAATTACAGATTGCAAGCCAAAAATACCCATGGTTCACAAACATGTTCAGCTAAAAGTTAGCAAGTCACTCTAGGTCTTAGCGTGAAGCTAGTGTGCACATCTGAGATAATGCGATGGAGGCCACATGTCTAACATACCTTCCTGCTACGGTGAGCTTCCTCTTCATACAGGACCAGTTAATTCAGCCTTTGATGTCAGCAAAGATTGAAAGCCAGTTGTTCCAATTAGCAAATTATCACAAACTATTTAATTTCCCACCTGTACTCACTGTTAAATAACTGCCTTAAACCATATTAATTGTATAACATGATATGAATTAATAAGACTAGCTTTGATAAGATGTCCATTTTTGAGAGGGTTTATTTTTGCCATTCATTTTATTTTGTTGTTGTTTGTATCTGAAATACAGCTTTAAAAGAGAAACCATCACACATATAGTAGTGGCCAAAATTGTGGAAACCTTTTGGGAAAAGTGTATTTTTGAGGTTTGATGGCTAATAACACCACTTTTTTTGGAGTAGTACCATAAAATTATATATCAATGGAAAGATAATTTAATCAAGAATGTAATGCAACCTAGTTTGTTCAATTATCTGTACTGTATTCTATGAAAAGTTATAGCCAAATAACCAGAAAAAGGAAGCACAACTTGCTTAGGTTGATATCGGGTAGCTTTCCTTAGTCTGATTGTAGCCAATGAGCATGAGTGTTTAGAGAGCCAATCAGGTGTCATCTTGTTGTGGCAATGAGCCAATCAGATCACAGTAGGATTCAGTTATTGATGTCATGTATTGAAGCTGAGAGGAGGACATTTGTCAGTGTGTTATGTGATCACTATCAAGTTGGTTGGGGTTTTTTTTTGTGTTCTTTCTTTTAGTGAGCTTGTAAAACGTAATAAAATTAAAGTAATGGTGCAAAGAATTGGCTGATTGCCCAGAAAGCGATGTAAAATAGTATTATTAAGTGAACAAGGCTACAGTTATAAAGAAATTAGAAGAAAAACTGGTGGAAATGTAACCAAAGGTGGCATTTCTACTGTATACTTTTCCCTAAAGGTTTCCACAATTTTGGCCACTACTGTATAACCCTTTAAATGACTTACAGTATGTGGCCTTAATAGGTTAGGCCAGGGGTAGTCAACCATGACTCATTTATGACTCATGGACTTCAACTCCCAGAATTCCTGAGCCAGCATGGCTGGCTCAGGAATTCTGGGAGTTGAAGTCCACGAGTCATAAAAGAGCCAAGGTTGACTACCCCTGGGTAAGGCAATAGATTTTTAAAAACAGGTCTTTTCATTTTAAAATATCAATCTTCAAAAGCTGATGTCTCCACAGATGAGTCTACAATAGGTAAAGTCCTCAGCCTTCAGGACCACCAGATGGATTGACTAGTTATTGTCAACATTCTGATATTTGATAGGAAAAACTCTTGAAACTAGGGATGGGGGTGCAGAAAGCAGTTACTCCATCTATCCCCTTTCTCTTCCCCATCTATCTCATTAGAGTATGCCTTTCTTCCCAAGGAAAAGAATGTGTATACATCCTCTAAATATCAAGAAGTTTTCTTATTTAAAACTGTTTATGACTAGTTACCCAGTAATATTGTCCATAATGGCTATGATTTGGAGGCTGAGAGAAGGATTGCTCAACCATGCCATGTGAGATGAAGGAACATTGTTCAGGAGACAGGCCATTGGGTCATTAGGGAAGTTAGGAACTTAATGTTGGCTCCATCAAGACCAATCAGGCAATCTGCTCAAAATGATCTATTTTAACAGGGCTTTGCATAACTTTAAGACTCGTGAACAATGAAGGGTTACCATCCTCTTCTTTTGAAACTGTTTTTATCATGTTGCACATGTTGCAACTGAGGTTGCATTTGAGTTTTGGGAACCAGTGGAATATTACAATATTAAAACAAGCTTTGTTAAATTTACCCAACCTATTGTGCCCTTCAACTGTTAACACTCAGGGAATTGCAGACGCCAAGCATCTTCAGAGCACTTACAGTTAGTCCTCAACTTAGGACCACAATTAAGCCCGAAATTTCTTGCTAAGTGAGACAGTTGTTTATCCCATTTTACCATCTTCCTTGCCAGCGTTAAGTGAATTACTGCAGGTAGTAACAGTAACGCAGTTAAGTAAATATGGCTTTCCCACTGACTTTGTCAGAACATAAAAGTTGATCACGTGACCCCAGGAAACGGCAACTGTCATAAACATGAGCAAGTAGCTAAATGTCCGAATTTTGATCACGTGACCCTGGGGCTGCTGCACCGGTTGTGTGAAAATGTCATTTCATCACTTTTTTCAGTGATATAACTTTGATCACTAAATAAGTGGTTGCAGGTTGAAGAACTACCTGTATTTAGTCAGCCTCATTAGGTTCAATGTACTTTCTCACACAGAGGCAGACATGGCCTTACAACTTGGAGCTTCCTAATTGTATGATGAAACCGGTAACAGTGTGCAAGGATGCCTGTCCAATTAAATCATACAACGTTTAACGTTGCCGTCTCCTTGCTCATAATTTCATTCTCAGGCAAGTGTATATATTGTGTGTGCATAGGACAGAGGGAAGCAGAGATGATGGATAAGTAGACACATTGAAATTCACTACACAGAATAAAAATGAAACAGCGTAATAGAAAGTGCTTTAATATATAATTTATATATAATTTATATATACACACACACGTGTGTGCATGTGTGTATGTATGTATATGTGTGTATATATATATATACACATATGCACATACACACGCAAACAAAAAAAAAGTACCAAATAAATGCCATAATCACCTACTCCACTTATTTTTCTCTCCTTGGAACAAAGCTGAGCCATTTTAGCATCAGCTCTAAATGGAGTAAGTAGATATGGGCAAGATGCTTTTTTACACCAATCACTTTTCTCCTCCTCCAGAGCCTGTCATCAAGATGGGCACTAATAACACAGAGACTATGCTGAGAGGCAATTGTCTTCCATTAAAAAGGAATTCTTTAAAAAATGTGAAGCCATTATTTTTAAATCAGCAATTTAAAATGGTCACCATCTCTCCAGCTTGCTTAAAAAAAACTCCTTCGTATCAATTCCCCCCCTCCTCTGCTTCAGAGAAACAAAACTGTTACTTTATCTTACCAGCCCATTGCTTGGATGTTCTCCTATTACCTGCCACTTCTGATCAAATAATTGACACCCCACCACACACACCATTGGTTTAAATGTGCCCACGTTGATGGGGGGGCGGACAGGTGGGGAGGGAAGCTGCAATGTGCCAATTGTAGACTCAGCAGAGGCAAGAACAAAGCAACATTAGCAGAGCCCATCTGTAAAAATATGCTTGCAGCCAGTAAAATCCAGAGCTGCTATGAGAAAGAGTTCCTTCAGGCAGAATCAAAAGAAAGTTACCGTAGTCTCTTCAGGGGAAAAAGAAAGTTGCAGGCACCATGGAGATTACAATCATACCCTCTCCATAAAGGAGAAAACAAAGGCAAAAAATAAAGCCACAGAACTGAAGCAGGCTTCATGTCTTCATCATCCGGCAAGTCTCCTTCCCTCTATTGGAGTTAATTCAGTAATCAGTAGAAGAAATATTTTTAGAATTGAGATTCATGCAGTACCAAGTCCCACTAAGTGCAGAATTTCCATCGCTGGATGGAACCCTTTTTATCTTGTGCGCTTGCCCTTCTCCAAACAGTACAAACATTTTTTTTTTAATTTGTACTGCAGTACTCAAGCTTAGCTTCTCCTATCTTCAAGCAATCTTTGGACATAGAGAACCTCAGGGCCCATCCACATTCTCCCCAATTTACACTAGTGTGTAAGATTGGCTCTTGTTGCTGATTTGTAATCCTTTTCCTCTTCCCTCCTCCTTCTCTTCCAAGGTTAGGAAGGCCAATTCAAGAAGCCGTGACATCTCAATCCTGGACCGCTCAATGCAAACATTGCAATTCCTTTCCCCAACCTAATCAGCCTATAAAAAGAATGTCAGGAAGACAATCAGAAAGGGAAATTTGAAGAAAATTGTTAGGTGGATGGGAAACAGCTGTAACAAAAGGCCCACATGGAAGGAACAGGTTCTGTCCTCCACACTTAGGAGCTAACAATTGCCATTTCTTTTCTTTGGGGGACTTCCTGCAGAAAGTGAAAGAGGTAAACCTATCAAACCACTTCCTCCGGTCATAGGTCAATCTCCTCCTTTTGCTCTTCCATACAGTGGGGTGATGTCTTTCTCTGCCTATTTTGGAAGGGCAGGGCAGGTGGAGGAAAGAAGCTGCGCCACCCCACTCCTTTTCTTTGGTATCAAAGCCAGAGTCCCAAGGTCCCTTTTTCTGAAGCACCTCAAACCTCATCATTCTTCCCTCACATTCCAGTCACAGCAGTTTGGCAAAAAAAGAACTGTACCCTCCCCTCCCCAAACTATCACCCCTTCCCAAGAAATACGCATTCCTGAACTTCACAGTGACAAATGTGTGTGCACGGTGTGTGCAAAAAACAGACGAAGCAGGTGTTGCTGTGAGAGATGCAACATTCAATAGGCATTTGAGGCAAGCAGTGTTGATGAACTTCCCAAAGTTGTGGTAAATGCCACCGCAAGAGAAATACAGCCTCTTCTCAAGAGCTTCCATGTAACCCTGGGGAGAGGCGAGTGGGAGGAACAGCCCTCTTCAGAATTAAAGTGAAAATATCAGCTTTCTGGATCCAGAGATTTATAAATCGGTGTGATTTTTAACCACTGCTATCGCTTTCCCTCACCAGATTGTTTGGTCAATGCTAGAAGAGGAGTATGTTGTACAAGAACAAGTTTGTTTTCCTGATCCCAAAGAAAGGGCCCAGCAGTGGGAGGGGCACTCCAAGTTAGGCTTTGCTCCCAATAAATAAAAAACAAGTCTCTTAAGGGGCAGAGTGATAACACCCATCTTCTCTTCGTCAATACCGTCGAGGATGCCATGATAGAAATAGATAAGTATTCTCCTTTCTAGAAGTTTGGTTCTAAAATTCAGATCAAACAGAGAGAACCAATCAACCCCATGCTGTTTAAGCCCAGCTTAAAAGTTTCCTTGGTTTCAAAGGTTCTTGCTAACTGGTAGGGCCTCCATTCAAAAAATAGGTGGTCATCTCGCCTTTGCCCTTCACTTTGATGACTCCACGGCACTCCAGCTGATAACCTTTGGCAGCTAATACCTGATAGAGGTCAGTTGTCACCTAGGAAAAAAAAGCAGAGACAAAAATATCGATTAATCAGCCAAAGAAATGTGCACTCTTAGGGTATCAACATTTCTACTTGGTACCTCTTCACCATGTGGCTGGTGTTCTTAGAACACATGGCTAAGCTCACATAGCCATGAACTTACAAATCCATTATCATAAGATATAGCCAAAGGCGCAAAACTCAAAGAACTTTCATCTTAATCCAGTCTAAAACTGTATAGATAACTGCATCCTGTCACTGCCTTTCTAAATTCAAATGAGTATTTTCCTGGGACCACACAGCTATCCTGTGAGCCTAGGAGAAACAGTTGTTGATTCATATAATAACGGCCTCCAAGTCAAATCCAAATAGAGCACATTTATTTTTATCTTCGAAGAAATTTCTGGTCCGGGTAAAAGATATACCGTTCTCTAAAATACAAAATCAATGCGATGCTTCACTCTTTGCAAAATCCCATCCGATTTTTTTTTAAATTAAAAGTAGGTTGTAATTAGTGTGAGTTTGAATAATGTGATGTTCAATTTAGCGCAAACGTGTATTTTAAGGTTAAGTGGTGGTCATTTTATTCATGATGGGAAATGGTCACACTGTAACTGGTCTCACCTGAATGCGGTCAGGGACGCCAGTGCTGTCCATACGGCTAGAAACATTTACAGTGTTGCCCCAGATGTCATACTGTGGCTTTCGGGCTCCAATCACACCAGCCACTACTGGACCAATGTTTAGTCCTAGAAGGGAGGAAAGAATCTCAAAAAGTCATGATTAAATATCAACTTAAAATACTTTGAAACCTCTCTTTTCCCCCTTGCTACTTCCAAGACTTTACTGACCAATTTTCATTTGAAAATTATTGAAAGAGTGTTCATTGATATATTTCATCTGCTCCATGAGCCTCATGGCATAGTCGGCCAGCGCAGTGATGTGCGAGCGCCCCTCTCGGTCATAGGTGCTATCATTTAGCCCCGATGCTGCCATGTAAGTACTTCCAATTGTCTTGATCTTCTCCAGCTGCCTGAACGGTTCGTCACTGATGATCTACGGACAGGAGGAAGGTTTTATATCACCATTTAAAATATTCCCAGATAGGCAGAAATGTGGCCCTGCTCCTAAAATTACTTCTTATGCTTTTGATACAGGGTCAACAAGACAGGGCAAACTTCATAAATGTGCTACAAACGTGCTTCCTTCTTAGCCTTGGACGCCTTTGTTGTGATGCTGTGGGGAGGCACTGCTACAATCTATGGCTAGTGCCTGCCAGCAGCCTTCCCTTTTGAAACTCCTGGATGGTTAGACCTCCTACCCATCACCTGGGCTACCAGCAGTGTATAATGCTGAAGGTTATCTGCCAATAATCTGATCCCAAGTTGCTCAGGGCTAAAAACAAGACCTGACTGATCCTGTCAGGAGTCATGGTGGTGCGGTGATTAGAATGCAGTATTTCGGACTAACTCACTGTTCACTGCCAGGAGTTCGATCCTCACCGGCTCAGGGTTGATATCCTTCTGAAGTTGGTAAAATGAGGACCCAGATTGTTGGGGGCAACATGGCTGACTCTGCAAACCACTTAGAGAGGGCTGTGAAGCACTCTGGACCAGTATATGAGTCTAAGTGCTATTGCTATTGGTGTCACAATAGCCTAGAACAGGGGTAGGCAATCTTGGCTCTTTTATGACTTGTGGACTTCAACTCCCAGAATTCCTAAGGCAGCATAGCTGGCTCAGGAATTCTGGGAGTTGAAGTCCACGAGTCATAAAAGAGCCAAGGTTGACTACCCCTGGCCTAGAACAACTGAAGGTTGAAAAAGGGCTAGTACAGCCATTGAATAGTCAGGCTGAGAATGCTGATGGAGCTACCTGGGTTGCAAAAATCCAGAGGTCAGCAAGGAGCACAGGTGGGCCTTGACTTATGACTATTTGTTTAGTGTCCGTTCAAAAAGTATGATGGCAGTTAAAAAAGTGACTTATGACTGATCCTCACACTTATGACCATTGCAGAGAGAAACACAAACTAACATTCACCAAGATGAATTGTTGTCCCTTTTAATACAATCTGTGACAATGGAGAGCACATTCAAGCAAGCAAGGCTTTAGAGATAACTCTTTCTTAGAAACTAATCTTCTTGATCCTTTACAATTTTCAGGGAGAAAAGCATCATATTTTTTCTCTATTTGGAACTTTGAAGATTCATATCCGTATTCAGACAGCTAGATTCTGTGCCCTTAACTAATGTTTTTCTATCAATCACAATTGTCTAAATTCACCTGACAACTGAAGGCTGTTCATTGGACCAACTAGATTTACATCTTTTCCAACATGTAGTGGCCCCTGAGGGTTGTCTACCAGACCACTTCAAGCAACTTAGATTCCTTCTGTAGTTAAAAGTGAATGAAGAAAAAGTGTACTAAGGAATATAATTGCAAGATTTGTAGATTCTGCTAAGTCACAGTTTGTTTCGCCATGGTTCAGTCCAATTGGCTAAATCCATAAACCATGCTTGACAAACCACAACATCTGAGTCCACACAATACCCAAACCAAAACATCTGGGCTTAATGTGATGTGTGAAGCCAGTCACTGTTGGATTCGCCAGCTTTCACCTAACAGGTTTCTGCTGCTGTAAAGAGCAGATAGTATTATAGAGGGAAATGACCCATACCATATTATAACATGATCTTTCTATTTTCCCTTCAATGCTATCTAAGGTAGGGTAGGCACTGGGCTCTCCAGCTGTTGTTGGACTGTAATTCTGTAATTCTTTCTTCGCCCATTGCCATACTGCTTAGAGCTAATGGGAATTGTAGTCCAGCAACACCTGGAGGGCCATGTCATGCCACTTCCTGAAAAACTCAAGACTTTTTACCCCACTGAGTTCTAGTGCCTTCCATTTTCCAATCTTCTAAAAAAATGCATACTCACCTCATCAAAGTCAGCAATGATCTCGTTGAGCAACCGAAGGCATTCAACACCCTCATTGTTGGCTTCCAGTTCCACGTAGAACTCAGAGAAATTGCTGATTGAGGCAAACATGACAGCCACACACTCACACGATTGGTGGTACAGCTCATCATTGAGGCGTTCCCGAGCCAGAAAGTGAGCTGCCACATCTTTGGGCAAGATGTTGTGTAACAACCGACGATTATAGGCCTGCAGCTCTTCCATCTCTTCCTTTTCACCTGTAGCCTGGGAGAAATCAGGTCATCACTTATGCAGGAGTTAAACAGAAGGAAATCTTAACTTACGAAGAGATCTCTCGGGGTGACTTACAATGGATCAAGAAAAGTCCTTGATTCTTGCAGTCACAAATTGAAAACTATCCTTTTGCAGAAATAAAATGGGTGGCTGGATAGGCTAAACTGGATTTCTGCACAGAAGGATAGCTTGCTTCATTTAATTTTAGTATTCATTTTTTAAAGATACTGTATATACTCTGTCTATCCTGAGTTATACAAGCTTTGTAATTTATTCATGTTCAATACATTCAAGATTGATGACTGATGACTTGGTGTTGACATTAACCCAGCCAACAGATTCGGTAACTGACTTGGTAGAAATTATTGCACAATATGGGAAAGTTTCTGGTTTTAAGGTGAATAGTAATAAGACTAAAATATTACCGAAAAATATGTCTATGAGGGATAAAGGGGGGGTTGGGGGTGGGAGGGGGGGAAATATTGTAATCTTTATAAAACTTTTAATAATAAAAAAAAGATTAATAGGAGGTGCAGTCCCATTTTACAGAAGCCTCAAAAGTTAACTCAAGAAAAAGTTGAATTCTGTAGCATATAAAAATTCTGTATGTTTAGGTGGTTTACATATGTATCTGCATTGCATCTGTTTCCTCGGAAACAATTTAAGTTAATAAGATAAATTGGTTTTCCCCAATCTGACAGTCACTGTCACATCACATACCATAGTTATTGTCCATATTACTTGAGAATAATGAGAATTGTAATACAGTATTTCACATATTCATCTTGTTCTGGAATATCCATTCAATTTTTAATAGATGGTCATGATCTTTTGATTCACTAGTGATTTAGAAATTAATATGGGGATATATTATTCTGTATTCTGTATACATATTATTCTATATTTGGTGCACTCTTGGAATCTTAAAAAAATTGACAAAAATTTTAGGACAGCTTTCTTTCACTCATATAGATAGTCTTCGACTTAATTTTGATCAGAATTTCCATTGTGAAACAAGGCGGTTGATAAGTGAGTTGTGCCGACTTTTACAACCTATTTTGTTACAGTTGTTAAGCAAATTGCTGAAGTTAAGGGAATCATGCGGTTGTTAACTGAATTTGACTTTTCCCATTGACTTTGTTTGTTGGAAGGTACAGTAGTGGCCAAAATTGTGGAAACCTTTTGGGAAAAGTATACAGTAGAAAACTTTGGTTAAGTTTCCACCAATTTTTCTTCTAATTTCTTTATAACTGTAGCCTTGTTCACTTAATAATACTATTTTACATCGCTTTCTGGGCAACCAGTCAACTCTTTGCACCGTTACTTTAATTTTATTACGTTTTACAAGCTCACTAAATGAAAGGAAAAAAAACCCAACCAACTTGATAGTGATCACATAACACACTGACAAATGTCCTCCTCTCAGCTTCAATATATGACATCAGTAACTGAATCCTACTGTGATCTGATTGGCTCATTGCCAAAACAAGATGATACCTGATTGGCTCTCTAAACACTCATGCTCATTGGCTACAATCAGATGAAGGAAAGCTACCTGATATCAACCTAAGCAAGTTGTGCTTCCTTTTTCTGGTTATTTGGCTATAACTTTTCATAGAATACAGTACAGATTACAGTACAGATAATTGAACAAACTTTGTTGCATTACATTCCTGATTAAATTATCTTTCCATTGATATATAATTTTATGGTACTACTCCCCCCAAAAGTGGTGTTATTAGCCATCAAACCTCAAAAATACACTTTTCCCAAAAGATTTCCACAATTTTGGCCACTACTGTAGCTGGCAAGGTTGCTGGGATGCTGCAACTGTGATAAATACATGCCAGTTGCCAAGCACCGGAATTTGGATCACATGATTGTGTGGCTCCTGTGATGGGCATTAAGTATGAGGACCAGTTGTAAGTCATTTTTTCAGTGCTGTTGAACCTTTTAAAGGTCGCTAAAGGAATGGTTGTATATCAAAAACTATCTGTAGTATGATCTGAAGAAGTTATCTCCGTATCCATAGGTCAACAAGATTATTATTTTTTTTGCCAGGAGTCTTGAATGGTAGACTATTGAAAATTTTTAACTGCATTTGCTATATATTTTAAGCCTTCCATTAAGTATATATCAACCAAAATCAACATATCTTATTTTACTTATATAATAAGAAAGGAATATATTTCACAACGGGGTAATACTTGAGGATTTAAAGTTTCTGTCTCACCATGCTTCAGTCAAATGTTTAAGACCAAACTAGAATTCTCCAGAGACCTTATATCTCAGCTGGTTTCTACAGGGTTGGATGTTATACAACAGTGGTCCCCAACCTTTCCAGCTCTGCGGACCGGTGGGGGCAGAGGCAGTCATGGCGATGGGGTGGGAAGAGGGGATGGTTCCACGTAAGGGCACCCACCACTTGCACAAATGGAGCAGAGCACACAAGCACACGTGTCCCTCACTTGCACAAATAGAGTTTTGTGTGCTCATCCGCTTGTCCGCCACTTGCACAACCCAGTTCCCAACGGACTGCAGCCTAGTACCAGGCCACAGCTTGGGGGTTGGGGATTCCTGTTGTACAACTATATCATTAAGAGCTTGTATGGCAAATATAGGCAATAGGATCTGAGAAGATGGGCTGGCAGCTAACTTTCTCCCTGCCTACTGCTGATAAAAACTCTAAGGCTCTTTCCAGTCCAGACCCTGACAAAGAGAAGAAGGACTGTTAAAGAGCTGGACAAAAGATAAGAGCCAATCACAACTCTGGGTATTCACCAATACTACAAACTCTCTCTTGCAACTTATTTTCAGAATCTCTATTTTGTCTCCAGTACCTGTTGCTTCCAGAGAAAATCAAGGCGTGCTGTTGATTCGACTTGCTGGGCATGAAGATAGAGGGCCAAAGCAAAAAGTAACAGGATAACAGGTGTCATGTACTGCAGAGGCACTTTTTTCTCTGAAAAACTACTAAAATAAATTGGGGGAGGCAGAAAAAAAGAGAGTAAAGAAAGAGCACAAAGTACTAACTTTTCACTTCTCATGAGCCTAACATCTCAGAGCTTTACCCCATGATCTTTGCCTCTTTAACTCAATGAGCATCCCTAATTATGCTGTTGCCAGCTGGCCTTAGATGCTATATTGTTTGTTGTGGGACACAGTGACAGTAAAGATACTCTATTCTATTCTATCCCAACCTGATGTAGTCCAGACTGGTTAGGAACTGGAAGATACAGAATCCCCAACCAGACCAAGTTTTAGTCCAAACAAATCTAGGAGGTTTCAGTCCAAACAAATCTAGGATGGGGAAAGCAGCCATATGCACAAAGGCAGGAGGTGCCTTGGAAGAATAAAAATAAACATACAGTAATGTGAATCTTGAAAGACCTCCACTGGTTTTCAGTTGCTCATTTAAGATCAACCTTTAAAGCCCTAAATGGCTTACAGCCCAGCTGTCTAAAGCAGGGGTGCTCAAACTTGGCAATTTTAAGACTTGTGGACTTCAACTCCCAGAATTCCTCAACCAGCTTTCCTGGGAGTTGAAGTCCACAAGTCTTAAAGTTGCCAAGGTTGACGACCCCTGGTCTAAGGGAATGCTTCTCCTAAAGCCAATCTGTGTAGTTATTTAGTCAGCAGGAGTGGCCATCTTGAAGACATCTACTTGTCAGAAGCTTATCTTTCTATAAAACGGACAGGCCTTTCTCCTGCATGGCTCCCTTGGGTGCTCTCTTGGGACCTGTGTTGGGTCCCCATCTTTCACAGACTTAAAGAAATATTTTTTCCAGGCTTTTATTACCAAAAAAAGTAATATTATTATTCTCAACTTTTTGTATCTTTTTAGACAGCCATGTTTGAGAGTTCACCAGAGCAGAAAGGTAGGATAAGCGTCAACTAAATTATCATCATCATCATCATCATCATCATCATCATCATCATCATCATCATCATCATCATCATCATTTATTTTCTAAACCTTTAATTGTCATTCCTCACTTAAAATAATTCCAAAGTTAGTGCACAACTGCAGTTGTTTACTGTGGTCCCTTGATACAATTTGCTTTTCTCTCTTCTGTTATATTAAGTCCCTCTGGGCACTCCATTCATTCTAAATTTAGATTGCAAGATCCTCTGGATATGTACTTATCTTGTCCTTCTGCTCCTTAAATAATATCAGTTTTGTATTGTTGTTGTAGAACACACAAGATTCATGGAAACCCAAAATTAGGATGAGCAAAAACAAGGGGAACAGACAAAATGTCTCTAGTTTTCTTTTCAGTTCCACACTCAGGGGACTAATGCTTTTTTTTGTCCTAAGAGCATTACCTTTCAAACACGTTTTGCCAAATTTTGGTGATACTTTCACTAGCTTATGAAACTTCTCTATGTAACTCTGTCTCCCTGCCATCAATCCTCCTTCCCCTCATTTAATCCACACCCAATTCCTACTCACCAGGGCTGAGTCTCATTGAAGGCTGGCCTGTTTTGGAGAGGAGGAAAAAAAAAGGCATTTTTAGAAATAGTCCTTATTGAAGTCTGAAGTCTCTTTTCCTTCATTTAATACAGTGTTTCTCAACCTTGACAATTTTAAGGCATGTGGACTTCAACTCCCAGAATTCCACAGCCAGCATTGATTTTAATACAAGGATCTCCAAACTTGGCAACTTTAAGACTTGTGGACCTCAATTCCCAGAATTCCCCCTGCCAGCCATACTTGGAAGTTGAAGTCCATAAGTTTTAAAGTTGCCAAGTTTGGAGACCCCTAGTTTAATAAATACTTTCAGATAACTACATGATTTTGAAGGTTCACCGAGAACAAGGCTCAGAAGAACGAGATTAACTTCTGAATGCCAATATTCTAATTCCAACCCGGCTTCTCTTCTTCACACTTTATAATCTTCCACAATCCCACCGTTCTTTCTCTTGGGCAGCCAGAAGCATTTCACAGATTTGCCATGTTAGTTTTCCCTCCCTTCACAACCTCATCTATTGAATGCTTTCGCTTTATGTGTGAGGTTATATAAATATTTCAAAAGATTCCACCGATTTAATTTAAATAATTAAATAAAAATCATAAAAATTTTTGGAGGTCAGCAGGTGCCATCTACCGCTGTAAAAACCAAAGTTGTATTCTCCTATCCAGATAAAACCCTAACTTAAGGAGAAAAGAGATTTGTATTTTTTTCCCCCCGTTTTCTTCTCCTCCTTCCAGTGCACAAAAAAAAGTCAAGGATATGCATGTGGGCAGGAAGGGTAAATCCCTCACTGTGTGTGTGTGTGTGTGTGTTCAGTCCAAAGGAATAAGCACTCATATGTGGAGCAGCATTTCTGTAATACACTGGAGAAAGTTTATACAAATGTGCCTTTTGGGCCTTCAACTACCCAGAGGCTGTCTTTCAGGATGCTATTCTCTCTCTTTGTCCCTGGGGTCTAGGATTTTCAGAAAATCTGGCTGGGTTTGCTCAACATGCTAACTGGGCCAAAGACAGAGTAACATGTTGTGTAAACACCATAATCCAGGGAAAGTGGGGGGGGGGGGGGCTAGAAAGGTGAATCAATCTTCTAAGAAAAAAAGGCAGGTAAGGAACACCTGAAGAAGACAGAACTCCCGAATGACTGATGGATTGCTCCACCCACAAGCCGCCTACTACTGGTTGGTTGAAGTGCTATTCACTGCCAATACAACGCTCTTCTTAAAGAACATCAGGCACTTACGGGAGGAAGTAGGTAGCAGCTCATGGATGGTTTTTCACCCAGTTTGATGTGTTGCCAGATCTACTGGTAAGGGGCTATCACTACATCACTGGACTGAAGTGTGCTGTACAAACAGAGCCTGTATGTGGTACCTTTTTATTTTGCCCCTCTTTTCAAAGCTGACCGCTTTCTATTCCACAGGGGTTTTTCTTTGCTGGTGCTATTGATAAACAAGGGTGGACCATACATGGTCAAGACTCACATCCCTCCTCCCTTTTTGGCTATCTCCTAGCTAGAACTATTCTGCATCTACAAAAATCTGCATTTCCACATATCAGCAGAAAGTGATGGATACTGGTGTAGTGTCCTGCCAATTTTGGGAGGGAGGGCAAGAAACGAACTAAATAAAAGGTTGTACATTAAGCCTTAGATAAGCTTAATGCTGGTAGATAGGTAGTTAGTTCAAGAAGCCAAAAATCTCATACCTTTTGGGGGCATAATTACATTATTGTCCTCCCATAGAAGCTCTGGGTGTTAAAACTAGTGGCAATGAGATCATTTCCCTGCATCTGAGAAAATACTGTAAAAAGATGGTGCTATATTATCATTACCACTAGTACTAACACTTTTGTAATAGTTTCCAATGCTAGATTCAAGGTAGCACAGAGATGTCAAATCTGATGATGGAACAAATGGTCCTTGGTTAACAACCACTTATTCAGTGACCATTCAAAAGTACAACGGCATTGAATGAGTGATGGTTATGACCGGTTCTCAAAGTTCTGGCCATTCCAGAACCCCTGCAGTCATGTGATCATGATCTTTGGCAAGTAGCTCACACGACAAGTTGTATCATCCTGCAATCACTTGATTGCATTTTGCAACCTTCCCTGCTGGTTTCCCACAAGCAAAGTCAACGGGGAAGCTGGCAAGGAAGGTCACAGGTTCCTCACGTAAGTCTCTCTCACCTGTGCACCCTCCTCAGCTTCTCTGTGTTCACAATGCATCTCCCTGGCCAATTGTGCACTTTCCCCCACCCAGCAGCAAGCATCCAAGCCCCACTGTGCTCGCACCCTGCCTCATGCCTCCAGGAACAGCCACCTCTGGTTGCACCATATTTACACTGTACATCGCCCACTACTCTTGACACCTTCTCTCACCCAGCAGCCATTTATCTGCCTACTAGCCTGCTTGCAAATCACTTGGGTTTTGCTTTGGCTGTGGAAGCTGGCAGAAAGGTGCAAGGTGGTGCTTGCTTGATGACCCGTAATCTTCACTTCATGACGGCAATAGGGAATGCAGGGATTGCCGTTGTTAAGTGATGTGAGCACATGACATTGTCCTTTACGACTGTATTACTTAGCAACAGAAATTCCAATCCCAATTTCTGTCACAACTCAAGGACTATCTCTATAGAAGAATTAGGGAACCACCTCACCCACCCCAAAAGACTTGAGATTCTTCCCACCCCTGGAGAGAGAGATTCTTACAGAGCATTAGTAGCCACCAGCAAGTCATAGTTGTCAAACAGCACGCCCTGAGGGCCCTCAGCCAGTACCAAGTATACCACCTCCATCACCACCAGCAGTGCCAGCTTCCTAAGGCTACTGATGTGCAGGAAGACGGAAGAGGCCAGCAGACTCAGCAACACCGAGTAAGTGAAGTACTAAAAGAAAGAAAGGATAGAGATTTGTAAGGACTCCCCCTTACAAATCCAGATGTGTTCCCAGAAGTTCACCATTACACCCTCAAAGCGTTGCAAACTCTGTTTTCTCCCCTAACAGCTAATCACAATGGATGTTACAAGTCTCCTCCTTCAGTATCAGAGGCAGAAGGCTATAAGCATCATGTTGCTGGGGGGGAACTGGCTCTCTGATTCCAGCATAGTCAGCCAAATGATGGATATAGGCTTTTACTGTTTAGCAACAGTTCAGTTCTCTCATCCAGCAGGCTTCTTACCTCTTGCTCTCCTCCTGCTTCCACCAACACATTTCCCCATTCCAAACTCAAGCAACCTCCATGGCCAAGAGAGGCCAGTCCACCTATCCAGGTACTTCTGGGAGGGCAAAATGAAGTGAAGGAGGAAGAAGGAGACAACCCTTCAGAAAGAAATGCTTCATGTCCCCTGCGCACAAAGCTTGACATCCATCCTCATGCTCTACCCCAGGGGTAGGCAACCTTGGCTCTTTTATGACTTGTGGACTTCAACTCCCAGAATTCTTGAGCCAGCATGGCTCAGCTTGGAAACCTCTCCCTTTCCCCTCAGCATGGCTGGCTCAGGAATTCTGGGAGTTGAAGTCCACGAGCCATAAAAGAGCCAAGGTTGCCTACCCCTGCCCTACCCAAACCCCATTTTCCACACCAAAAGCCTTATCTGATGCACATACCTCAGGGAAACTGCAGGGCAAGTCATCCTTTCCTTGGCAGGGTGGAGTGTCTGATGCCAAGGTATAATTGAAAGCATGGAGATAACAGGGATCTACTGTAGCTGGAGTAACGTTGAAGAATCTAACCACACAGTCTTGGAGCCGGACCCGACTGCAAGCAAACTAAAGGATAGGTTAATTCAGCTAAGGAATTGCTGCTCAATGGTTCTAGAACCCCCTGATCAGTGGTGGGATTCAGCCAGTTCGCACCAGTTCGGCAGAACCGGCAGCTAATTTTTTGTTGCCCAGGCCCAGAATGGACTTCCAGAAGCGGCATCCACACAGAGAACCGGTTGTTCACCTATCTGAATCCCACCACTGCCCCTGATCCCTAGTGTGACTGAGTCCATGACAAATCCCTGAGGCTCCAGGGATACAGACAGGTAATAAAAAGTTCCTGAGATTTCATAGGGAATTGAAAGTCAAAATGCTGCTCACAGCATCCAGAGGCCTTTCCTCAGCTTTCCCTTGCCATTTGGGAATTTTGATGGTTGTAATTCCAACATGTGGGGATGATACCAATTTAGGGGAATATTAATGCACATGGGTTCCTGGTTTTTTTTTCTTGCCCAAACAACATTTTGCATAATTTTAGAAATCTTCAATGCAATAGTTCTTTGATCAGAAAACAGTAGCAGAGGAAGAAAAATAAAACTTCCACATTCCCTCTGTTCAAAACCTAACAGAGTGGAATATGCTAAGTCCTAACAGTGCTAAGTCCTAGTATAGTTTATTTGAGGTGATATACAAGATCAGCTAATTGTGGTTTGTAAAGCATGGTTTATAACTTGGCAGGTCTCTGTAGTTCACTTGTAAACTATAGCATCTGGTAAATATATCCTATAACTTGCTGTAATACACGTAATCCTCGACTTACAGCAGTTCATTTAGTGACCATTCAAAGTTACAAGGGCACTGAAAAAAGTGACTTATGATCGTTTTTCACAGTTACGACCTTTGCAGCAGCCCCATAATCACACGATCAAAATTCACATGCTTGGCAACTGACTCATATTTATGACCATCGCTGTTTCCCAAGATCATGTGATCACCTTTTGTGACCTTCTGCAAAGCCAATAGGGAAACCAGATTCACTTAACAACCGGATTACTAACTTATCAGCTGTAGTGATTCACTTAAGTGTGGCAAGAAAGGTTGTAAAGTGGGCCAAACTCACTTAACAATTGTCTCACTTAACAACAGAAATTTTGGGCTCCATTGTGGTCGTAAGTCGAGGACTACCTGTATTCAGACTCTATCATTGGTCATCTCTGCCTAGAACAGGGGTAGGCAACCTTGGCTCTTTTATGACTCGTGGACTTCAACTCCCAGAATTCCTGAGCCAGCATGGCTCAGCTTGGAAACCTCTCCCTTTCCCCTCAGCATGGCTGGCTCAGGAATTCTGGGAGTTGAAGTCCACGAGTCATAAAAGAGCCAAGGTTGCCTACCCCTGGCCTATAGCAATCTTTGTTGCACAATTTACTGACTACCACCTGAACAATCTTGTGCATTGAAGACCTTTGCCCCTCAGCCCCCCTCCAGCCTCTTTTCCCCTCCCTGCTTCTCATACCATGTTGACAAAAGCAGAGATGAAGACAAGCAGGATGGAGACAACGCCAGTAATGGTGCTGTTGATTCGGGATTGGATGATCTTGCGAGAAGCACGCTGCAGAGCGGCAGGAAAGGGCTACAAGGGATTGGAAAAGGTTGAATGAGTAAAGAGGTGCTGGTATTACCATTCATCACTTCCAACTAGTTCCAACTATCCCCCTTAGCCTGAGGACACCAGAGCCAGATACCAGGAATCAAGCTTATAGCAGCCTTTAATCTAGAAGATTCTACAGTGGGGATTCAGGCTGTCCACTAAGAAGTTGAATTGTGCTCAGCAGGCAATAATAATATAATAATGATACTGTAGACAATATTATTTTCCAATAACACTGGATAATAATACTGGAAACAATATTGGAGATGGATGAATAATCTGGTCTGATATAAGGCAACTTTCGTTTTTCTATTTCCCCAATCTGGCAAAAAAGAAGAAACTCCAAATCTTGCTTGTTTACTGGTCCAACACCAATTAGTACTCTCCTCCATCTGCAACTTGGCAGGAGCCAGTGCAAAAGTGAAAACACCGTAATAAAACTCCATAGGTTCTGAAATGGCTTTCCAGAAGCAGGTGTTTTTCAAGCGTGTTGTGGCTGGCTAGAAATTCTATGCAGTGTAATCCCAAACGCACCTTAAAGGTACCCACCAGCTGGGGAAGAATGTTCCACCTGGAAAATTATACACATCTCTCTACTCTTGATAAGGAGATGTGCCCAAGCGGAGTCCACAGCTGGTGGAAACAAAGTCAGAACGAATCAAGATTTGCCCATTTGTGGGATTTGGGAAAGTGTAACTTACACCAAGGCAGGAATAAATGGCACACACAAAAAGAATGGAGGCCAGGATGATGAAGATACTGATGTAGGCACCAAGCATCAGAGAGGAACTGTGGAAATAAGGAACGCAGTTAGTCTGAGAAATCCGGACGCTGTCATTAAATTAAGCTTTTCAGTACTTGCTAGTGTACAGGCCTGACTTTCCCCAACTTGAGCCCTTTAGGTATGATGGAAGACTATTTCCACTATCCCCACACATCCAATGTTGGCTGGGTGGTCATAACCCAACATATTTGGAAACATCAGATTAGGAGGGTTTACATAATATTATTAAAGTACATTGCCCCAATCTTGCACTATGATGCTACAGCACTGAAGTATGTTTTGCAGCTATGTCACAAAGCATCTGGGACTCCGTTGCTTCAGAACGACTTTCACTTTGATTTGCTCAAACATTAGCTTCAAAACAGTTCCAAGGGAATGCACCACTCTCCTTCCCGTGGTGCTATTTCTAAATTAATCTTTCTAGTAGACGATCCCTTCATACGCTAATAATATTAAGGCAAAGCTGGAAATCCATGTAGTTTGGTGTGTGCGCATGCATGGTGTGTGTGTATATATACAACTTGCAATTTTTATTTGGATGATTTTGTAGTTGTTTGGTTGAAGCAGTCTCCAAACTTATTTTGAACTTTCTGCTTCCCTGGAGCATTAGAAGTTACTTAATATTGCTTCCAGGAACAGCATATTTGTTTGTAGCAGAGTATGGTATATGCCAGGGGTAGGCAACCTTGGCTCTTTTATGACTCGTGGACTTCAATTCAGGAATTCTGGGAGTTGAAGTCCACGAGTCATAAAAGAGCTAAGGTTGCCTACCCCTAGTATATGCGATGTGGAATTCGGGTTTCTGCATCTGTTTGTATTAAAGCACATGGCTACTTTGGCTATATATGTCCCAAATACAGGCACTCCTCAACTTACAACCACAATTGGGACTAGAATTTATGTTATTATGCAAGGCAGTCGTTAAGGAAGTCGTGCCTAATTTTTCAAGGTTTTTTTTGCCACAGTGAAGCAATCGCTGGAGTTGTTAAATGAGTCACATCATCTGTAAGCAAATCCAGCTTCCCCATATTGACTTTGCTTGTTGGAAGCTGTTGGGAATGTACCAAACAGCGATCATGTGATCCCGGGATGCTGCACCTCTCATAAATTCATGCTGGGTGCCAAGCCTCCCTCGAAAGTTGATCAAATGGCTATGGAGATGCTCCAGTGGTCATATATGTGGTGCTGGTTGTAAGTCACTTTTTTCAGTACAGGTAATCCTTGATTTACAACAGTTCATATAGTGACCGTTCAAAATTACAATAGCATTCAAAAAGGTGACTTATGACTGTTTTTCACATTTATGACTGTTGCAGCATCCCCATGGTCATGTGATCAAAATTAAGATGCTTAGCAACTGGCTCATCTTTACGACGGCTGCAATGTCCTAAGGTCACTGACTTCTGACAAGCAAAGTCAATGGGGAAGCCAGATGTGCTTAACAACCGTGTTACTAACGTAACAACTGCAGTGATTCACTTAACAACTGTGGCAAGAGAGGTCGTACAATGAGACAAAATTCACTTACAATTGTCTCTTAGCAACCTGGGCTCAATTGTGGTCATAAGTTGAGGACTACCTGTACCGTGATAATTTTGAATGGTCCCTACACAAACGGTTATAAGAAGGACTACCCATACTGGGTACATTTAAGATCTTTTCATGGAGGTATCTTTTCATCGCGGACGTACACATGCTTATGTATATAATATGTTTGCAGAAAGAGTACATGAGAACGTACTCTTGTACATGTGTCACTCACTGTGGGAAGATGACTATCTGGATACAACAAATGAAGCAGAAGACTAGCATGGTGCAAGCCACATAACTACCAAAGCGGGTATCCACCTTTTTGGAATACTATAGGATTAAAAGAGAAGAAAAAAAAATTACCAAGGAATTGAGGAACAGATGCCTTTGTGCCCAATTTGAAATCTCAATTCTAGACAGAGAAGGGAAATACCTTTCTCTCCAACTCAGGTTTCTGGAAAGTGAGCAGAAAGCGTTTGACATGATCCTTACGCAGCTGGTCAATGCTTCGAGCATCGATGGCCCTGCCCAAGAACTCATCCACCTCGTCTTCAGGATTTAAGGCTTCCTGTGTACTTCGGCTACGGGAAAGCAAAGTTCAGGTTGGAGAGTAAAGAGAGACACGAGACAATTTATTTAATTCATTTGTATTCCTCTTATTATTCTTATAAATAACTCAAGGCAGCAAACATACGTAATACTCCTCTCTCCTCCTATTTTCCCCATAACAACAATCCTGTGAGGTGAGTTGAACTGAGAGAGAATGACTGATCCAAAGTCACCAGCTGACTTTCATGCCTAAGCTGAGAACTAAAACTCACACTTTCCTGGTTTCTAGCCTGCTGGCTTAACCAGTAGACCAAATAATGTGCCCTCTCTGCAATTGATGCCATCTTTCATATATTGTCACAAGATAGTTTAGGGCAGGGGTAGGCAACCTTGGCTCTTTTGTGACTCGTGGACTTCACCTCCCAGAATTCCTGAGCCAGCATGGCTCAGCTTGGGAACCTCTCCCTTTCCCCTCAGCATGGCTGGCTCAGGAATTCTGGGAGTTGAAGTCCACGAGTCATAAAAGAGCCAAGGTTGCCTACCCCTGGTTTAGGGACTCTGGCTTGAATAATTTTCTCCATCCCTACTGTCAAAATCTCAAGGAGGTTATAAAATGAAGGCACTTACTTGTCTTTGCTGGAATCATCAATACCCTAAAAAAAAAAGAGACAGAGAGAGATAGGGTATCATGTTCAAGAGCACACAGTATACATTAATTTTGATACTAAATTTCAAAAAATGCAGAAAAATGTGATAATTACAATGAATACAGGCAGTCCTCATTTAACGATGGTAATTTGGACCAGAATTTCCCCTGCTAAGCGATGTGGTCATAAAATGTGATGTTACATGACCGCATCGCTTAGCAATGGCAATCCTGGTAGTTCCTGTTGCTGTTAAGCAAGGATCGTTGGTCAATAAGCATGGACCTCCTCACAATTTCCTACCGGCTTCCCACAAACGGTGGCAGTGGGAAAGGCGGCAAGAAGTTGCAAGTCCCAGGCAGCTCGCAAGCCAGGTGGGGAAGGGTATCTGGGTGGATACTGCAGCATGCGCAAGAGTTTTCAGGCCCAGGGATGGCTGTTGCCAGGTGGGGCAGACTTACCCGAATGACTTACAACCTTCCCTGATGGTTTTCCCAACTGAAAGCCAGCAGGGAAGGTCGCAAATGGTGATCATGTAACTGTGGTGCTGCAACTGTCGTAAGCACGAGTCAGTTACCAAGCACCCCGATGACTGTGGGTGTGGTACAACGGCCAGAACTTCAAGGACCATTCATAAGTGGTACTCATTCAGCACCGTGGCACCTTAGTGGTCAGTAAGCAAGGAGTACCTGTATAATTTTATATGTGGTGAAAATTTGTAATAATGTGGTTACAGTATTCCTCAAACTGAGACTACAACTCTCAGTGTGCTAGTGGCTATGATACCAGGAAACCCAGAAATTGTAATTCTGGTATCTTTGGAAAGCAGCAATTTTGGGAAGAGCGGTCCTATTAAATGTTGCCAGCAACATAGTTTTCAATTAAAAAATTTCTCATTTTTTTTTGGGCAGACATTCCCTGGACATACTTGGGATTTTAAGTTTCCATACACGTATACAGGTAGTCCTTGACTTACAACCATTTGCTTAGGGACTGTTTGAAGTTACAACATCACTGAAAAAAAAGTGACTTATGACTGTTTTTCACACTTACGACCATTGCAGCATCTCCATAATCAAAATTCAGATGCCTGGCAACTGGCATGTATTTATGACGGTGGGCAGTGTCCCAGGGTCACGTGTTCATCTTTAGTGACCTTCTGACGTGCAAAGTCAATGGGGGGAAGCCAGATTCACGTTAAGTAACCACGTTGCTAACTTAACAACCACAATGATTCACTTAATAACCGTGGCAAAAAATAATATAAAATGGGGCAAAACTCGCTTAACAACTACCTCGTTTAGCAACAGAAATTTTGGGCTCAATTGTGGTTGAGGACTGTCTGTACTAGGGGTAGGCAACCTTGGCTCTTTTATGACTCGTGGACTTCAACTCCCAGAATTCCTGCGCCAGCCATGCTGAGGGGAAAGAGAGGTTTTCAAGCTGAGCCATGCTGGCTCAGGAATTCTGGGCGTTGAAGTCCACGAGTCATAAAAGAGCCAAGGTTGCCTACCCCTGGTCTGTACCAGATCAGATATTCCTGGCAATATTCACTCAAAATGGATAAGGAAGGGTGATGATGATAGTGATATTTGCAAGCCTGTTTTTTTTTAAAAGAACATTCAAAGACAGCACCTTCTAAGGCCGCCCTTTTTCTCTCAGCTCCAAACCTCTGTAATGCTGAGAAAAGAAACATAATAAGCTTGTTGGCTGTGCACTTCATTATACCTGCACAGGGAACAGAAGCAGAGCCCTTCCCTGGACTCTCCCATTTCAAACACACAAAAGGTAGGTGCAATAAATTTGACTGGCTTGGGCTGGCCTTTGGCCAACAAAACAACATCACCTTACAGCTTGTCAGAGAATAGTTGAGATTTACAGCTAAGCAGCAGGGCGGCCTGCTGGCTGGTTAATGCTCAACTTAATAGGTGTGGGAAAGAGGTTCACAGAGACTTTGGGAGGCGAGAGTGAGTTTTCACAGAACAATCATGGCCAATCTCTACTACCTTTAAAAAAAGGCTCCTTTTTCGCGTTCTGTCTCTTGACTTCAAGCAAGTGAGACATTTGTTAAGTGAGTTTTGCCCCATATTGTGACCTTTCTTGCCACAGTTGTTAAGTGAATCACTGCAGTTGTTAAGTTCAGTTACGTGGCTTCCCCGTTGATTTTGCTTGTCGGAAGGTTGCAAAAGGTGATCACGCGACACTGGGTCGCTGCCACCGTCATAAATATGAGTCAGTTGCCAAACGTCTGAATTTTGATCACATGGCCAGGGGACGCTTCAACAGTCGTATGTGTGAAAAAGGGTCATAAGTCACTTTTTTCTGTGTGACTGTAACTTTGAATGGTCCCTAAATGAACTGTCAGTAGAGGACTACCTGTACTATATAAGTATATAGTCTGTTGCTTGAGCCCAAAAGCCTTCTAGAGTAATCATCAATTACAATTATTTTATAACTGGAATTCATCATTAACTAATTATTTTTAGCTGAAGAATGTAACAGAGATAGATGTTATAACCACATCTGATCAGTAAGGTGAAAGTAATAACGGCTAGAAAACCTGGGCTAATTAAAAATATTCTTTAACTGCCAGATAAGAAAATCAAAGTTGGCACCAGGTGTGGACGGGGTCCAAACCATTCAAGAAACTAAAAACGTCAGAACATAGTCATACTTAAAAATGATTGGGAAGCCACTGCCTTAGTTTTAAAATTAGTGAGCTATGATCAAACCATCCAGTCCTGATCAACAATCTGTGTATTTTGTAGCAGCTAAAACTTCCAACCTGTCTTCAAAGGCAGTACTACCTATGATCCATCATTAGGGTAATTTAAATGGGATGTTATCTTAGCATACAATATTGCAGCCAGGCTACCTTTGTGAAGAACAGACATATTTAGCATACCACTGAAGATGGGGAAAGGAAAATGTATACCACGGGATCTGCTTTGAACTTCTAAGGCAAAGTCAACTCTGTGGTAATACCATCCCAGAATGGCAAATGCATTCCTTATGAAGGATACAAATTGTTCCAAGGCAGACTAAAACACACCTGTCCTTCTCTGGTCATAGAATCTTTCCATTTTGCTTAGACTGAACTTCAATTCTTTAGGCTTTATTTACTCCCTGATTTATCTTAAATGCAAGTTCAGCATTTTAATTATGTCTCCTGAATTAGATGAAAATGAATATGGTCGTAGACTTGGATGGTCTCTGTGCACTGACAACATTTTATTCCAAAGCCCCATATGACCTCAGGCATTTCAGGCGCGCAGGGAGGACCAGGAAAGGGACAGCCTAACTGCTAGCAACAGAATTTCAGAATCACCTTCTGAAAATAGCTGTTGTGGTAAAGCTGAAACCATTGGAGAGAAGCCCTTCCCCATTCTTCCCGCCAGTTAGCTGCTCCAACAGGATATTTTGACTGAAAGATCCAGGAGAATCAGCATTCTTCCTTCTCCCAATCTAAAACAACATATTCTTTGTGCCAAAAGTGGGCCAGAAAGCACACTGAAATGGAACCCTAAAAATCAGTTTCATTGGACAGTGACTAGAATAATGTAACAAACCTCTGCCCATTTTCAATCCCAATCTTACTTTCACTAGTTTCTCCCCTAATTTGCTCCTATTCTTTTCCATTTTCAGAGAATTATTGCACTGATGATAGACAGACAAGATCTCGATCTATTCACATAATTTTGTCCCAATGTTCCATTGCGTTGGAAAGAAAAATAAATGCCACTCAAATCCACCAAAGAAGGCTGAGAAATTACTGTAAGGTGCCACTGTGCCTTGACCACAGGATGGAGAAGGGGAGAAAAATCTAGAACTCTCATCAATGGAAACCATCCTGCAGCTCCAGGAAAATCCTGCAGTTTTCTCTGGTTCTGCTCAAATGCACAAGAGAGATTACAGAGACTGATGGACATGACTCACGAACAGCTTAGGGATAGACTGTCATGGGGGAAAAAAATCCATGTGCTCGTTAGGAATCAAAAATTACTTCATGGCACATAATCGATCAGTGCGTATGCGGACATCATCTTCATCTCAAGCCTCCTAGGATTAAGCAACAATGCCAGTAGAAATGGGTCTGAGAAATCTGGACCCTGTTTAAATGAATGGGCTTGGAACCCCTCTTTCAGATCCTGCCATTCAGTGGGGCAGAATTAGTGCTTTAAGGCAGCACCGTAAAGAGATATAAAGCAATTTGACTGGGATGAGGGCATTAACACAAAAAGCTATTTTTTTAAACAAACTCAGATTCCTACGTAGAGGGCCATAGGGTTACCTCAAAGTATTTCATTAAACAGTAACGCATAACAGATAGGATCCTTCCTCATTTTAACAACTAACAAACTATTCCATTGCAATGGATTAAATAAGCCACAACAGATGCCCTGTGCTACAGCCACTACTACCAGGGGCAACAAAAAGTTGTCAAGACGATGCCCATCAACAACTGGCAGCACCGCTATTGAGAAGATATCAGTGGAACTCCCTCTCAGATGCAAGCAGTATCATGGCAACAGATGCTAGATTACCAAATTTCATAAACAATCTGTGCCATAGCAACAAACTGCCTACAACAAATCAAAAGCAACCTGGAACAATGAATGACAGGGGACTAGGAATTCTTGCTTAGCAACCATCAAGAGTGCCACTAATGAACAGAAAATTACCCCCAAACGTGGTAGGTGAGGGCGATTATCTTATATTTTGCTTGGATAGCAGACTTAATTTGCATCCTGACACTGAAGTGAAGAACCTGCCAAATGAAAGGCTTGAACAAATTCAAGATAGAAGAAGTAAAACAGATGATCAAAAAAAAAAAAGAATAAATATTTTAACGAACCAAATTCCTTACAGAGCTGATATTGACTGGATTCACTTATCATGCTAAAATACAGTTTGCTCTGCAGAATTGGGTGGTTTCAGTAAGACCCAAAGCGTATTTTATATATCATAATGGCTAAGTTTATACAATATACTAAGTCAAAACTAAACAACCATATCCTGGCTGAGCAAAATGTTTGAAGCCAGGCAATCTGTTTAAATCCCTGACAATCTGAAACTAATGCAGGGGAAGAACAGAAAATCTGCTCATTTAGGATTTTCCAGTTCTAAGGTATGCAAAGGAAAGGAATAAGGCCCTGAGAAAGAATCGGCACCTATTGTGATTCATTAAAAAGAACTAATATTTTTTATATTTTTGAATGCAGGATCCTGGCAATTACAGTAGCTGAAATGCAGTTGTGGGCCCCAACCAGATATAAACTGATACTTAAATTTATGGATTCCATATCTCTGTTATCAAATTCCTCCTCATCTCAGATAATGAAATAAAACTAGGATTCTCTAGATTTTGCAAAAGGCAACGTAAATAACATGAATGGCGAATTTCTATTTTTCAAAGCATTGTTACAATCTTGACCATTTCAAAATATTCCCGCCACCTCAGTCCCATATGGTGTCATACTTTCACATGCTGCTACCTCTTACACTGTGTGTGTGGTTATGTTCCCGTAATCCATAGTTTTCTTCAGCAAAAGAAGCAAAAAAAACCGGGGAAAAGCAGAGAGTGTAAGGAAGCGATGGCAGGAAGGAAGAAGGAAATGCTCAGGGGAACTAGATCCTACACCACCTAAGAAAGGCCAAGGGCAGCTGGGATGTGAAGGAAGGGAAAGTGAAGCAGTGGGTTGTTATGGGCAATAGAAACAGAATGTGGAAGGTTCCTTGTTTCAAATTCCTCTTTAGTTCTGCTTCCTATATGCAGTGGAAAGCTGTAAAATAGATGGGGGCAGAGTGAGAGCTTAATTTTCCCCCATGTTAGAAAACTTCCTGCAAATAAAAGAGGTGTACAGCACTGCAGGTAATAAAACTGAGCTCTTTCAGATCTATTTCTTTCGGTATGGTTGGAGAGCTTTCATTCTTGGCTTGGAGTGAAACAGACCATTTTATTTCCTTGGCATAATTTTGTACATTGATAACAAGTTCAGTGCACTGCATGTTAATTCTTATGTAGTTAAAACATGGCCACAAGAGAATTACAACTCTTGTGGCAGTAAAAAAAAAAAAAAAACACTTCACACACACCGAGGGCAAAAAAGTTATTTCCTAGCAGAGAACGAAAACAGCCCAGAAAGGACTGTTCAAGGCCTACAAGTGGATTGTGGCGGGTATAGTGGAAAGTGCGAAACAAACCAGGGAAAAAAACCTGGATCAGTTTTCCTCCACACCACTAGGAAGACTCACGTGTGTATGGGTGTGATGTATGTGTGTGTGCAAAACCAGCAATCCTCATTCCTTCACCTAAGCGAAATTGCTCCAAATAATTCAAGCATGAAACGCATAGTATTTTCCCTTGCTAATAAGCTTGCCTCATTATTAGAGAGACATCTACTTACAACCAAAATTTCATTTGAAATTGCATCTCCAAGAATCCCGTGCTTTTAAATGGCTGCTACCCACCGTGGCCAAAGCTAACTCATTCAGAGAGGAATCAGATTTGGAACGCTCCCAGCTGCCAAACATCTCAAGAGCTCCTCATACCAGGAACAGTATATGCCAAATGGCAAGGCTAAGCTCTGATTGGATGATTCCTTACAAAGATGGAATGTTCATTTAAGAACTGAAGAAGAGCTAGATCAGGTGTCTTCAAACTTGGCCCTTCTGGACTTCAACTCCCAGAATTCCTCAGCCAGCGTTCCTGGCTGAGGAATTCTGGGAGTTGAAGTCCAGAAGTCATAAAAGGGCCAAGTTTGAAGACCCCTGGGCTAGATGAATCAGAGCAGACCATTGCTGCTGAAATATTCTGCTCTTATAGTAACCGTCCAATGGCCTCTTAGAAGCGAATACATACGTATATAGAACAAAAGAAGTGAGAAACGCACCCTCCTATTCACTTCCCCCAGCAATACAGTATTTCAGGGCAATACTGTTTCTTGATATTGGAAGTAAAGTACAGTCAAAGTACTAGCCACTGATAGCCTTATCTTCATAAATTCATCTTACCCCCTTTAAATCTATTTAACTCAGTGTCTATCACTGTACTTTATGGTAGCAAATGCCATAATTTAACTATACATTAAAAATACAGGTCTCATCTTTCCCTAAAATGTTTATTAAAAAGATGTTCAAATGCGCAAACCAGCATTTTATTTCAACTGACTGCCCTCTCCAATATTAAGAAAGAGAATTCCTTTAAACATTCATATGGATTTAGATATTAACTGAGATCATACATTAAGCCACAAGTATGGTTTGTGAGTAAATGGAAATTATATTCTCTAATATTAAAACATGATACTTCTTTAAATTGTCATGCTATTCTAAACACTAATTAGTTCTTGACTCAATTTTAACCATGTTTGTTAAATAAGCTGCAATGGCTAGGTTCCTTTATTACTCTAAGCCACAAATGATCATATATCAAAAGCAGTTACATTCAAGCATCGCATTAAAACAATACAATACCCAGATTATGTTGAGTGAAATGCAGAAACCTAATCTTTGAATATTTATAATAAATGTTCTGATCATAAATCTGATCATAAGCTTTGTGAGTAAGTTTCAATCAACCTTAAAGAAGTTTAAATATATTCAAGCACTTGACAATTAAAATAAATAATTTAAAAAATCAGCACAATGTTAAGAAAAAAAAGCTACAGACAAAGCTTCTCGTGAAACACAGTGGGTGAAGGAATACTCCACAATATTTTAAGAGACAGAGGTGGATCAGAAACTCCCTAAAAATGCATGTAGCTTCATGGAGAACGGGACAGAAGAGTATCTTTCATATTGTCTACTTTTCAGGCCATCAATTTATGCGAAGTGTTACTTAAACACGTTTTCCCCAAAGCTTCCAACTGGAAAGTTATGGGTGTGGGCGCAGAAGAGAAGGTTCTACTGCTGAGTATGAAGGAAATAAGAATTACAAGGGTGGTGATGTTACTTTTTTTCTTTACTGCTCAGGTCAACAGCAGTCTATTTTTCACAGAGACAATATAAACTCTAGCTCTACCTTGTTATATGTATAGTTTTATTGACAGTTATCCTACTATATTATACTACTGTAGTTTTATTATTGTGGCCTTAAGCAATTTCCCCCGTCCCATTCCCTCAGCCCTGCATTCAAGGCTAATTTTTTGAACCCATGAGAGCATTCATGTACTTTAAGCATCATCCTAGGCTGCAAACTCCTTTTAGGTTTTGTGCCTATAGATTCTGGAACCAGTATCTTTTCCCCTAGTTTTTTCCTTTGCTGCATAATAAGTGTCAAGGTGAAGAAAGAATACTTCATTTTACTTCCTATTTTTTTATGTGGAGTTGTGGGGAGACATCTTCAAGAGCTGCTTTCAGTTTGAGTAGACAACTCAATGTTGACAAATCAGACATAGGGCACTGCCTAGGATTTTTTTGCTACCTTTTTTAATCTATTCCGTCAACTTATCTCACATTCAGGGTTATCCTCCTTTCAGCTCAATGCCAAGAAAGGTATGCTCTATAGCAGAGGTCCCCAACCTTTTGGGCGCCAAGGACCAGTTCTGTGGAGAGAGGTTTTTCCGTGGACCAGAGGGTGCGTGGTTTTGTGTGCTGCCTGCATCTCACGGATGGGGCTTTGCTTGTTTGTGAGGACCGGTTGCTGGCATGCTACGGCCCGATACCAGTCCATGGACTGGGGGTTGGGGACCCCTGGTCTACAGTGTTGTTAACAGGAATGAAAGAACAAAGCAGAATCCAATAATATGTTATGCCATCCTACCTGCTTTCCCAGGTACAGTCTCAAGCAAACCCAAGACTTACCATCTGTCGTAACGCCTTAGAGTCCTTGTTCCGTGGAAATGAACGCTCGGGGACCCAGCGAGGCACCAGCCCTTCTGTGGAATTTGCCTGGGCTCGCTGCAGCTTGGCTAATATTGCTTTCTCTTCTTTCTATTGGCAGAAAGGGGGGGAATATGGAGGTACAAAACAGAAAGAACAACAAATGGAAGCAGGTGTTTTAAGACATTACTCCCTAGAGTAGGAATATCTCGTTTTAGAGCCTCCATTATTTCAGCTCCAGGGACCATAACATGAGCCGTGGTGGCACAGTGGTTAGAATGCAGTACTGCAGGCTAATTCTGCCGACTGCCAGCAGTTTGATTCTGACTGGCTGAAGGTTGACTCAGCCTTCCATCCTTCCAAGGTTGGTAAAATGAGGACCCAGATTATTGGGGGCAAAATGCTGACTCTGTAAACCACTTAGAGAGGGCTGTAAAGCACTGTGAAGCGGTATATAAGTCTAAGTGCTTTTGCTATTGCTATTCATCTCCTGGATAATGGTGATCTCTCTTCCTGCCCCCAAGCAAATTTTAGTCATGTCCCCCCCCCGACTCCCAGGACTTACCCGTTTCTGGCTGCAGCCCACAATGAAGAAGGTTTCAATGTTATGCTCCTTCAGGTAAGCATTGCGCTCACCCCCGTGCCCCGGCTCTACTTCATAGTCCTCATTCAGGTACTGCAGAGTAGCCTGGGTAATGTGGATCCGCCTATCACAGAAATGTTGTCGTTTAACCAAGACAAGTGTTGGAACCCAGTTCTCCCACTCTCCGAGATATACCCCCTCATTAAACTTTGTATAATATCGCTTAAGAATGGAAGAAGCTGCTCTCTCAACAAGGAAGCAATATGGCCCTTGCTTAGCAGCTCTGAGTAAAAGAGCAGGAGTGACCAATAAAAATAAGGTTAAGTAACATTAGCGGTAGTTGGCTGCAGGAATGCAGATAAAATACTGTGGGAAAGCTGGTGGAAAGAAGCCTTGCTGAAGATGGCTTTGCAGGAAAGCCTGACGAACCCATATGAAAATATGGTATAATGCTTGTAAGAAGCTATAAGTGAAGATAATACATTACTTCATTTGGATCAGTAAGTCACATGGAGAAATATAAGGCATTTCCACATGAGAATTTTGATCCCATTCATATAACGGCATTGTGCTTTTATATTCCCATGTTAGCATTCCTGTTGAGCAGCCAAGTCAGTTATTAAGCTTGACTGTCCCAAATATCCAAGTGCCATCTCTTTGCAATCAGAATGTGTTGGGCCAGTTTTCCACTGATAAGAATGTATCTCCAATATGCTCATTCCACAAGGTCTGACTGGGTGGGCACACTCCAGGTCCCTTCCTATAACGTTGCCACCTTGTGGGGCTGAAGCAGCAAACCATCTTGGTAGTGGTCCCTGGCCTAGGGAAGCACCCTCCCCCTGAGATCCAACAGGCCCCTACCCCCCTGGTTTTCTGAAAAGCTGTGAAGACCTGGCTTGTCCCAGAAGCCTTGGGATAGTGCAGGGGTAGGCAACCTTGGCTCCTTTATGACTCGTGGACTTCAACTCCCAGAATTCCTGAACCAGCATGGCTCAGCTTGGAAACTCTCCCTTTCCCCTCAGCATGGCTGGCTCAGGAATTCTGGGAGTTGAAGTCCACGAGTCATAAAAGAGCCAAGGTTGCCTACCCCTGGAATAGTGTAAGGCTGGAGCCCAGTGAAGCTCTAAAGTTTGTTTTTTTTTCTACTCTTCTCCAACGGATAGGTTAACTCCACATTTAATAGAAAAGGAATGGAGCAGAGTAATTTCAAAGCTATGTATGTAAAAGACAGAAGATCAGAGGTAAGACAAAAAGGGAAGAATGGGAAAAAAATGGGGTCACACCCAATACTAGCATGACTTTCCCAATTCCAAACCAATTTTCTTCAAAGGAACATCGGCCATTAGGAGGAAAGGTTTCTCCATCTCCCGTCTCAAAGGAACTACTTTCTATTACAATTCACAGTTGTTTCACTCAAACTTTGAAGGACCTGACTCACCCCGCTTTGCCACCAGCTTCCATATGATTGGCCAAGGTGACATCATTAGACCAGACATCAAACTGCCA